CACGTACTCGGATCTCTTATGAAGCATATTGAGTTGATCCTGCTCATCCAGAGTCCATGCTGGAAACCCACCACTTTCCTGCTTGATTTTCAACCAGGTGTTACGTTGACATAAGAGGCAAACAGACCTGTTACCCTCTGATCCTCGGGAAAATGATGGATTTCGTGAATGCGATACTTCTGTTAAGTACTGGAACACCCTGCCTGACCACTTTAGAAAGACTGTAGACTATAGTGAATTTAAGCGCACACTGTTAGTGCACGGTTTCTGTTAATATTACATTAATATTACATTATATTATTATATTAATAATTATTATGTTATTATATTATGAATTATTTTTTTATCTTTTTAGCCTTGTTCTTGCTGTAACTTTTAAAATTAGTAATTACGATCGGAGATACTAGCTTGTAAGCTACACTGAAATCCGAGGATAAATAAAGGTTATGTATGTATGTTCGCGATATCTCACATTAAGGGCTTTCAAGATTTCTGGAATACACCACGTACCACGCAACATACGTTGCATCTCCGTGTGAGATCAGCACATGTTTCTCTCCAACATGGGTTTCACACCCTCCTCCTCCACACAGGTCCGACAAAGAGATAACGTGATCCTCGGGTTCAAAGAGAATAGTAGGATGTGCGACTGGGTACATACCATACTTGTTCAACCAAGGGTATTCGGACGTGACGTCGACGTCACGTATTTCTTCCCCTTGGGTTCGGCCGCTTTGTAACAAAGCGAAGCAGCACCAGTACGTCTCCCAAAAATTGCATCCCGAGGATTGAGAGGTAGTACCATGTCAAGAGAAGAAAGAAACGCTTGAATCTCGAGTGAGGCACTCACCTTTGATTTCCACTCACTTTCCCACATTTCAACAACGGTATATCCCATAGCTCTTAGGGACTTGGTCTTTCGCAGAGTGGCCTGATACAAGGCTTCCATGGCATGGTCGGGGGGAGGCAAAGTAGTATCGGGTTCGGTCGGGAAAGCATTGACGACACCCATGATACAGACACCCATGGAATTCTTAGACGGTGTGGGTGGTACGATCCAAACCATCTACGTGATAGGCAAAAGGTGTGGCAGCAATTCTCTGTTCTCCCCCATTACGTACGTCTTGAATAAGCGGTATAGAAGAAAAGTGTGTGACAGTTGGTGTTCGTTCCAAAGCAACCATTCTAAGGCGACTCTTAAATGATTCATTGGGCACCATTCCATCCGGCACGAGGGGGCTCTACTGCCACACACTTCGACGATAGATGACATTTTCGCCAATAACGACTGCAGGCAGAAGGAATCGTGATACATACATACATATATAACCTTTATTAACGTGCCTAGTCTTTTTAGTGCCTGTAGGCACTAATTGGAGACACCCTAAAACTACATTACATCATTAAAACAAATAAATAAATACTCTAAAGCCAATACACTAATTAATGGCACTAACTGGGGACATCCTAAAACCACATTACATCATTAAAAAAAATTAATAAATACTTTAAAAAATTAAAAAAGCCGAAAATCAACATCACTCTGCAATCACTCGAAATTCGGTGACAAATTTCTCACAGCCAGCTTTGAGAAGGGCCACGTCCGATTTCCAGAACGCCACTAAATCTTAATTGTTTGAGATGAAAGGCTACTCCTTCTTGAGACGCGTACCACGTTTCAAATTCCTTTTTCTTGGAAGCAGGCATCTCTTCGGAATTGTATAGTATAGTGACGTCAGTGCAGACACCCCACACACTCTTGATGTTCAAGAGTATTGAAGAGATGGGTAAAAAATCTTTTTCTTCAATTCAGAAATATCAAAGGTGGAGGTAAACGCAGACAGAGACATGAGCAAGAAACAAAGAGGATCTTTAAACGTGATACACCCCACACGAAAGGAAAGGACCTTGATATCCACATAGACCATATCTTCGATACGTCTGTCTTCTTGGAGAAGTTGATGTTGCAAGAAGACGGCATCGTGCCCTTTCAAATTGTGAAAGATACAAATCACTTTACTTTCCTCGCAAAATTCGCTTACGGCCAAGTCGGTGAGATACGTTAAGAACTCGGCTGTGTATTCAGAGCCGTAAAAACAAGAGAAAGTCTCCGAGAGAGAGTTGAGATAACATGCCAGAATGGGAACGAGGGTCTTATTGGTCGAGAACATGGCTTCAAAGTCGGCGTAGACAAATACGGGTGGTTCCACATGGGCAGAGGCACTTGGTTTGTTCTTTAGATGCTTCAGGAGCTGCTTCTTACTCTCTTTCTTTTTCTCACCGTCTTTAGGATCGATCTGCTGTATGAAGCATTGATGTTCCAACAAATGCACCTTTTTGCGACAGACGTGACACTTGCCATAATGACATCGATGGGGTTCTTTCAGTTCAGATGTAACTATCTCTTTACAACAGAGTGGACAGCGAATGAGAGTGAGAAATCTGGTGGGTACGATGGAATTGAACACATCTCTCGTCGTAGAACATTCAAATGAAACTACAACAGAAAATAAAACACGTATATAAGAGATGAACGATCCCTTTTTATTGGCGGTTCTTTTTACAAAAATGTTTTACAGATTCTAGTAACAATTTCTATAACTTCTTGTTGACAGGTACCTTCGTAGATATCATATACACCTTTTTCTGTTCATTACAGGAAAATACTGCTCTGCACTATCACATCGACACTGTGACCGCGGCTAAATGTATGCAATGATACCGCTTTATGCAAACCTATCGGCTAAGATGTTTGAATAGAGATTTTTGAAAGGTAAACTGAAATTCAAAACAAAATTATTTTGGAACATGTGTTTTTCAATTGAAGTTCGATGTGTGAATATTGATGATAAAAAACGCTCAATTATTTTTACAAGCGCATAAATGATTGTCTTATTCATACTAATGCTGTCTAAGATCTAGAATGCTATTGAATTTCAAACAGTGTGATAAAAATGTAAATGAACGCTATATACACTACATTGTTTGTTTTTTGTCTCTATTGACTTTCAGGATGGTGTAAATGACTTGAAGGTTCCCGCGAATGAGAGTGTATGTTTCTCTTTAAATTTGTTTGACGAATGACGTATATGACTGCCCAAAATTGTTATTGAATGCTGATTAAAATGCAAAAATCGTTATTNATGCGGGTGTGGACAAAACGTGGGGCAGGCCATGGCCTAGGCCATGGTGTAGGCCATGTCCTACCCTATGGCCTACTCTATGGTCTACCGATGGTCAGATTTTTAAAAACATAAAAATAAAATCAGTAAGAGTCGAAAGAATACGCTGGCGTACAATTCTATGTCTCTGAAAATGGTATACTAAGAGGTCGCTAACACGATTTTTGAGGTCCGAGAGTACTAAACAGAGCAAATATCACAGCATTCACCCGGGCATTCAACCCTAACGGTAGCGGGGGAGGGGAGAGGACGGGCTAATGTTGCGTGGTCGCAGAGCATATGCAAAATGGCGGCTTCACCACATAGGCCGTCAGTTGGTAACATAGTGGAGTGCTAGTGTAAAAATGTAATGAACGGCGTTACATCGGAGAACATATTCAGGTAAGAAAATGCAAAATTTACGTGCCAGGCCATTTTTAAGTGCCTCTTAAGTGTTGTAGAGTGTTGAATTTGCAACGAGCACCCCGGGACACGCACGCATCGCCGTCATAAACATTTCGCAAACTTTACTTGCTTTTCCAAAGGAAGGGCTAGTATTGCACGAGTTTGAAAGGAGAGCTGGTATGATGATGTTTGCCCGAAAGTTGCGTTTAACCGGCTTCTTGGTTCCTCGATTTCCTTATTCCATCAGAAGGTTAAGAAATTTTGATCGGAATGTGGCCGCCAAAACAGCAGAAGAAAGTCGTTAGTAAGACAGTACTCAGGAAAGCGTTGGAAGGTTTGCAGCAACGTTTTGTCCACACCTCCAGATTGATTGCAGTGTTAGTTTCTATGTGGATTTCGGAACTGTAGGTCACCTTTGTTGTTCCTTTTGCAAATCTTGCTGTAATTGTCAAGATTGCCTCATCCCTTAAACTCTCAAGATTTGATTGTTAATTCTCCCCTCTGGCTGCTGGATGTTTACCTGTCAATTAGTTATGAGAATTTGGTGTTAGATCATTATAACAACTTCTGCCCAATGAGTTTGAGTACTCTCATTACCTGTTAGCTGGATATTTCTATGGAAATTATAGTTTCATGTTGGTCACCTCTAGGAGTTAATTAGGGTTCAGAAAATGCAATGAAAAAGGTTTGTAGAATTTTCAGTTTTACCTCAGGTGGTTTCTGATAACAAGAGAAAGGTGTTTCAACTGACTTGATTCTTTGAAATAGTATTTTCTCAGAAAATAGTACTTAGTAAAAGAAAAGAAATAGCAAGGAAATAACCTTGTCACAAAAGAACAATGAACCAACCCTATTTATTCTATTCCATGCTATGTAC